CTTAAAAATGACAGGTTAATAGTATAAACTACGCTATGTTCCTCTTGATTTGCTATTTCTCGAGCAGTGGTCATTGGTATGCTTCAGACAGTGGTTCTTATGTTATCTTGTTTTTTTAATACAGTTGTATTAAATTATTCAATTATTTTTGATCTTTCATTTTTTTTTTCTTTATTTTTTGTTCTTTTACAGTAAATGTTCTGTAGCTGATAGTAACTTACAATGTACAATGTCCATTGTACATTATAATTTTGATTGTTTACTTTATTTTGGTTAAAACCTTCCAGGTCATCTGACCTCACACCTTTAGATTCTTTTTATAGGGCAAAATCAAAAATGAGGTGTATAATACGCCTGTAAGGTCTCGTGAGGCATTAGAAAATAAATTTTCTATTGCCTCACGCGTTTATTCGCGTTTTTCCTTTATAACTAATTTAATACAACTGTTAACTTACACCATTATTAGAAAAGAACCACTGACTAAAGCATAGCAGTGATCACTGCTCGAGAAATAGTAAATCAAGAGGAACACAGCGTAATTTATACTATTAACCTAGCTACTATGCGTCAAAAGTTATAGTACATTTTCCGAATGTACTAAAACGTTAAAAAACAATGAAAATAATTTTTTTTTCAAGAATTATAAACGATCGTGAAAATTTTTTCAAGTAAAAGTTATGTGAAATTATGCTGTCTACCCAACTGAAGAAAAAAATTTATAAATTTAAAAAAATAGCGAAATTAGTACTCATATCCGGTATAACCGGATACAAAGTAAATGATTTCATGTCGTAATAATCCGTTTTAACGGCCTAATTATGCATTTCAAATGGTTTTCTTATATTACTAATAATAAAAAAGAAATATGGGGTGAGCCACTTCTAAGAGACACCCGGTATACAGGATGTATCTGAATGATTGCAACAAACTTCAAGGGGTGATTCTTCAGTGAATTTTAAAGGTATTTTAATATATGAACCATAGGCAACTTCGGCTCCCCTAAGGAGCTACACCCCTCCAAAAACGGCGAAAAATTTTTTTTCTCAAAAACCATAAACGCTAGGAAAATGAAATTTGGGGAATTTGTTTAACTTATAATAGGGCACGTTTCTAGCATATTTGCACTTTCAATATTTCCTTCTAAGTTACTAAACGTAACCACCCCCGTTCTATTTTTGCCTAGATTTTTTTATGAAGGTACAAATACATTGGAAAAATGTTATTTAGATAGATAAAAATATTCTAAAATTTTGTTGTCTCTTTGGTATTCTTCGAAAATTTGATAATTTCTGAGAAAAATATTAATTAAACAAACACTAACTGTTAAGCATACGGTTGTTAATCGAATGTTGGAATGAATTTTTATTGAAAAAATCTTAGTAAGCTCTGTAATTTCTTTAAGAAATATTTTTGACGTTTAAATGTCAGTGCTTTTTTACTATTATTATTGTTTTTCAAATTTATTTTTGAATAAAGTTCTATCGCATTTACGCTCGTTCACTCGACGTTTCAAAATTTTAAATAAAACAATAATAATAGTAAAAGGGAGTGGTTACGTTTAGTAGTTTCGAAGGGTAGATTGAAAGTACAAATAGGGTCAAAACGTGCCCTATTATAAGTTAAACATATTACCCAAATTTCATTTTCCTAGTGTTTATGGTTTTTGAAAAAAAAAAATTAAACCAAAATTTTCCGCCATTTTTTGAGGGGTGTAGCTCCTTAGGGAAGCCGAAGTCGCCCATGGTTTATATATTAAAGTACCCTTAAAATTCCCTCTAAAGAATCACCCCTTGAAATTTGTTGCAGTCATTCAGATACACCTGTATAAGATTAATGTCTGTCTGAACAAATGACGTTGTTTTTTAAACAATATTAAAAAATTGATACTCTTTAAGTCAAAAATTATTAATAATCATCAACAATTATGAGGATTCAACGTAAACGAAACTTACAAATTCTCAAAGCCAACTTTTAGAATAATCTTAGCTAAACATAGCGGTACATGTCACGATATTTTATTTTTTTACAGAAAAACTATTAACTTTAAGGAAAATATTAAAGAGACAAAAAAGTACCACTAAAGAATGAGCAATCCCATATTTTTTTATGTTAATATTTAATAGTGTTCAAAAATTCTTATAAAAAAAAATCAAGGGGGTGGTGAATTTCATCCCCTTAGAGGGCGCTAGGGAAGTTTAAGGTATGTTTAAAAATAAGGTCTTAATCAGTAGTAAATGCGTACAAAGTTTTAAATTCTACGGTTTACTTATAGCCGAAATACTAAACAAAATGTAAATTTTTAGCTCAACTTTGACAGCTCATAGTTCGAAAACAAACGAATTGCGACCCTACTTGAGTGTTTATATAAAAAAACTGGTGTTATTTTGGCAAGTACTACGTCCTAGTAAAGTTTCCCGATTAAAAACTGAACTACTTTGTATACAGGCTGTCTCGCGTAACTGGTTCGTTAAAACTTTTTTAAGTTCCATTATTCGTAGAGATTTGAAATTTTGGTAGCATGGGTTGTTCGTTCGGAACTTTCGATCTAAAATATTTTCAAGATGGCCGCCACTTCCAGTCTACCGGAAGTAGACCATAACTTCGTTATTTTAAATGGAATGCTATAGTTTTTATTACACCGTTTAATTGTACGTAAAAAAAAAGGTTGACTTTGATAAAAGCGTTGATAAAAACCTAGCGTTTTTCTTTATATATTCTTTTTTATTTTAAAGGAGGTTTTTATTTTATATAATTTTTTAATTGGTAGTAACACACTTCATTCTTCTTGTTAATTTTTCTTGTATTTAAATTAATACATGTCTACAAAGTTAAGTACGACGTTTCGAGCGTAATATTCGCCCATCATCAGGTACATAACAATCTACAAAACATCAAATCACTGTAAACTATCACGTTATCTCAAACAAAAACTAATCTTAAAAAACATATACTGTTTAAACCAAAAGATTAACAAACAACATCTATATTTAAGTATAAAATTTGTTTAAATATTTTCATTTACGTACCATCAATAGAGTTTTTTTAGTTTTTTATTATTAATTTGTTCGTTATATGGGGAAATTTCTTTTTTGATCGGAGTTGACTTTCCTATTAAAAATAACCATGTGGTTTGGTTTTCGTGTAAAGTTTTTATGTCTATTATTTTGGCATACAGGGTACCTATTTTTCCCGTATCTGATTTGAAATTTACTGTTTTGTTTATATTCTTGGTTATAAATATTACTTCCAAATTTTTCCTATTAAATGTATTTTTTTCGTTACTTAAAATTTTTGATTTTTCAAAATTAAAATGGTGTTGTTTTTTTATTGTATATTGGCACAATGCTGCGTTATTTATTGTTTTCAAACTTTTTACATCATATTGATGTTGTTTTAAACGTTTGTGAAGATGTTGTTTTGATTCTCCTATGTAAAGTTTGTTACAGTCCATACATACCAGTTGATAAATTGTATTTACCTTATCCATAGGTTTTATTTTGTCTTTCATATTAGTCATCAATGTTTGTAATTTATTACGATTATATTGTGCGCATTTTATTTCATTTATCTCATACTTCTTAAAAATTTTTGTTATTTTATGTCATTTCAGGTATATATTTGATTTTATGATATTTCATTTGAGTAATATTATCTATTTTTACTTGTGTATTATCATTATTATTTGTTTGTATGTTATTGTCTTTCTTATTTCCATTAATATAATTTGTAATTAAGAATTGTTTCTTGTTTGTTTCTTATTATCAATTTTTATGTTTCTCTCTCGTAAATTATATTTATGATTTTCTTTGGTAGTTGGTTTATTATTGGTGTTATTTATATTGATGTTTAAGCGATCAACGCTTTGATTTTCAATTTTATTATATATTTTATACCAACTTCTATTTATTAACGTCTTAGGGTAATCATTTTCTATCAAAATATTAAAAATTTTTGTTTTTATATCTCTAACAAATGGTTTATCTGTTAATGTTATTAAATTTTCCATGGTATTCAAAATTTGTGATTTTGGATGATTACTCAAATACTGTAATGCCCTATTGCTTGATATTTCTTTTCTATACCAAGATGTGTATATTTTATTTTCATTATTATTTATCATTATTTTCAAGTCCGAAAAAGGTAATTGTGAATTTTTTGGTTTTTCTACTGTGAATTTCAATCTGTCATTGTAGTTGTTGAAAAGTGTTAATAACTGATCATATTTATTTTTCTTTGTTATTATCAATAAATCGTCTATATATTTTACTAACAATTTTGGTTTGATATCTTCTAGCGTTTTTCGTTTCTCCTTTAAAAATTCATCAAAACAATCGTACCATGCGCCAGTACTTTTTCTTAAACCATATAATGCTTTTTCTAGTTTACAAACTCTGTCTGTCCCATCTTCAAATCCTTTAGTTTGATTTACATATACTTCTGAAAAAAAATTTACCGTTCAAGAAAGCAGGCTCTACATCTATTTGTTCTATAATTAGTTTTTCTTGACAGCATTTTAGCTACTAGTAAATAAATATCATCCACAATTTCAGATTGTTGAAAACCTTTTACAACTAATCTGGCTTTATAAATGTTATTTGACTTTTTTGTATAAACCCACTTCACATCTACACTTTTTTTTATTCTCTGGCTTTTTGACAAATTACCAAGTTTTATTTTTCTTTAAACATTCCATTTCCTTATTCATAGCTAGTTTCCACTGTTCTGTCTGATTACTATTTATCGCCTCCTCAAAATTATTTGGATTTTCAACATTGCAAAAGCTCACAGAAACGTAACTATCATCATATCTACTCGGCATTTTCCTTTCTCTCTTTGATCTTCTCAATTCTAAAGGCGTCCTTCAATAATGACGATAGTTGTTAAATGAATATTCCTTTTGACAATGTAAACAAGACGTGTAGCAACGTTCAACTCGCTATATGAACCGTTGAAAACACCTGAGGTTGCTTAATATTAACTTATTTTACCATTACAGGTCCAATACCGGGTGTACAAGTTGGAACTTGTTGGAGATATCGCACTCAAGTATCCGGAGAAGGAGTTCATCGTGCTCCTGTAAGTGGTATTCATGGAAGCGAATCACATTTTGCTTATAGCATAGTTGTTTCTGGTGGTTACGAAGATGATGTTGATAACGGCGAAGAAATTCTTTATACTGGATCGGGTGGACGAGATTTATCGGGAAATAAACGCGTTAATAAACAAACTTGTGATCAAAAATTAACGCGAGAAAACAAAGCTTTATCAAACAATTGTAACCTAAAAAATTGGAAAAACGGTGAACCAGTTCGCGTTGTTCGGAGTTTTAAATTAAAATTAAAAAAATCTAAATATGCACCGGAATTAGGTTATCGATACGATGGGATTTATAAAGTCGTTAAATTTTATCAAGAAAAAGGTAAATCTGGTTTTATTGTTTGGAGATATTTGTTGAGGAGAGACGATCCAAATCCCGCCCCGTGGCATAAAAACGGTCAAGAACTTCCAATGATTCTCCCTGATGGTTATGAAGAAGCTGAATCGTCAAAGAAAGATTTAGAAAAACGTGGAAAGAAACGAAAACCTCTACAAGAAAAAGACCACAGTCTTGAAATTGCATTTAAAAAGGCTAAAAAAATTGAGTTCAAACTCGATTCGAAATTAACTAACCTAATTGATACGGATGAAGCGAACGAAAAATTGTGGTTGGAGGCGAAAGAATCTCTTAAAGACGGACAATCAAGATTTTTGGAGGTCCTCCAAGAATTATTTATGTGTATTTGTTGTCAAGAATTAGTTTTAAAACCGGTTACGACAAGTTGTAAACACAATTTTTGTTTAAAATGTTTAAAAAGGGCGTTTAATTTGAAAATGTTTACCTGTCCGTGCTGTAGAAATGATTTGGGTAAAAAATACCCGCTAAATGTTAATGAAAATTTGTCCGAAGTGTTGTTAAGTTTATTTCCAGGTTATCAAGCGACTCGTTAATTATATTTTTGTTGTAAAGGCTAAAAAATATTTGTTAAAAAAAAATCATTTTAGCTTAATTTTAAGTAGATGTATTTTGCTCTAAAATATCTCTGTTTGCGTAAGATAATAGCATTAATTTTAACAAAAAAAATAATGTATTTTTAATAAATTAAAATGTTGTGTTTTTGAAAGTTTCAGTTGTCTTTGAAAAATAAAGTCTTTTTTAAAACATCTTAAAATTTAAGTTGGATTTATTGTTCCTTGTGTTTCAGTAGCTATCACGAGGATTAAATTCTCATAATCTATTTTCCATGTCTTTGTTGAGACGGAACTGAAATGACTTCATTCAATATGATTCACTAAATTTGGTACTCGCCTGAAGAAGCACGTCTAAATCTGAAACTTTCTAGTTGTAGGTGTAGTGTTAGTTCTAATTTTAAATGTCATTCAGAGTTAGATGGATGTGTATTTTTATTGAACTAACACTAAAACTAGAATCATTCGGATTCAATTTAATACCATAGTTAACTGTAATAGTAGAACTTTAGATTTGATTTTGTGTAATTCAGCCGCGATAAACTCTGTACACTCATGCGATGATCCACTCGTTAACCTCGATAATCATCATCCCGCTTTAGAATTTTTTGACAAGCTACATCATGGGGCACTCCTGACAAAATTACAAAAATTTGACTTGACTGATGGATTATTAATGTGGTTGGCGTCTTATATCTCTGATAGATGTCAGGCTGTAAAAATTAATATTTACATACCTAACTTTATTCCGGTCACTTCAGGAATGCCTCAGGGTAGTCACTTGGATCCGGTTCTGTTTGTGGCTTATATAAACGATATTTATGAGTGCTTTCACCAAAATAATTTTTTGCTATATGCCGATGATTGCAAAATATTTTCCAAGATTGAATCTTCTTCTGATTGCCAAAAACTTCAAATGGATCTTAATCGTTTGCAAACCTACTGTACTAATAATTATCTCTTTCTAAACTATGGTAAATGCAATCAAATCACCAGAAAAAGATAAACTGTAAATCATAACTATGAGCTTGGACCCGGATCCTTAAGTGTGTTGTCTAAGGTAAAGAATCTTGGCGTAGTGCTCGTGCCAAACTGTTATTTTTATATCATGTAGATGAACTTATCACTCTTATCAGTAAGGCGAATAAGAACTTAGGTTTCATTATTAGAATATCAAATTCATTTACCAACCTACAGTGCATAGAATCTTTGTACATGGCTTATGTGAGCAGTATTCTTAATTTTGGTTCAGTTGTATGGAATCCCGCGTATGCTGTGTACATTGACCGCATTGAGGCCTTGCAGGTCAGATTTGTGCGTTATCTGACTCACAAATTCGCATTGCCTTATTGCTCCTACGAGCAGAGATGCACTGTATCCCTTGCACATCCCTTTCTAATTCCTAGCTATCCCACTCGAGATCAATGTCTTTTCCGGTTGGTCGCTTCTACTACTAATTGCTATTATAACTCGCCTTTACCGCGATTGATGCATTGTTACAATCGTCATTGCTCGATGTTTGACATTTTTTATTCTTCGTTGGCTTCTTTCCGCGAGAGTATATTGAGTTTGAATATCTGTCATTGAATAGCGGGATAATTCGAGTTCAATCTGGCTTGTATTATTAATTTGAACTAAAAGTAGAACTGATACTAGAACTAGAAACATTCGGGTTTAGCCGTCCTAAGAGTCGTATGGCTAAACCTGAATGTTTCTAGTTTTAGTGTTAGTTCTAATGCTAGTGTTAGTTCTAGTTTTAATTGTCATTCAGGGTTAGATTGTTGTGTATTTTTATTGAACTAAAAGTAAAATTGATACTAGACCTATAAACATTCCGGTTTAGCCATCTTAAGAGACGTATGGCTAAATCTGAATGTTTCTTCAGATTTTTTGATTGCAACCTTACATAAGATTAAACATAAATGTTAGGCTAACTAATCTTTATGTATCTCAAAAACTAATTGAGATATCGTTATGAAATAAAAAGCAATTTAAAGTAAATTTATTCAGTATTTAATATATTGCAGATCATTTCTTCGAATCTTTAAATTTCAGAATTATGATTTTTTGATTGCAACTTTACATAATATTGAACATAAATGTTAGTCTAACTAATCTTTATGTATCTCAAAAACTGATTGAGATATCATTATGAAATAAAAAACAATTTATAGTACATTTATTCAGTATTTAACGTATTGAAGATCATTTCTTGGAATCTTCAAATTTTAAAGTTGTGATTTTTTGATTGCAACTTTACATAATATTGAACATAAATGTTAGGCTAACTAATCTTTATGTATCTCAAAAACTGATTGCGATATCATTATGAAATATAAAACAATTTAAAGTACATTTATTCAGTATTTAACGTATTGAAGATCATTTCTTGGAATCTTCAAATTTTAAAGTTATGATTTTTTGATTGCAACTTTACATAATATTGAACATAAATGTTAGGCTGACTAATCTTTATGTATCTCAAAAACTAATTCAGATATCGGTATGAAATAAAAAGCAATTTAAAGTAAATTTATTTAATAATTAACACATTGACGATCATTTCTTCGAATCTTAAAATTTCGGAGTTATGATTTTTTGATTACATCCTTACATAACCTTAAACATAAATGTTAGTCTAACTAATCTTTATGTGTCTCAAAAACTAATTGAGATATCGTTATGAAATAAAAAACAATTTAAAGTAAATTTATTTAGTATTTAACGTATTGAAGATCATTTCTTGGAATCTTCAAATTTTAAAGTTATGATTTTTTGATTGCAACTTTACATAATATTGAACATAAATGTTAGGCTAACTAATCTTTATGTATCTCAAAAACTAATTGAGATATCATTATGAAATAAAAAACGATTTAAAGTACATTTATTCAGTATTTAACGTATTGAAGATCATTTCTTGGAATCTTCAAATTTTAAAGTTATAATTTTTTTATTGCAACTTTACATAATATTGAACATAGATGTTAGGCTAACTAATCTTTATGTATCTCAAAAACTAATTGAGATATCGTTATGAAATAAAAAGCAAATTAAAGTAAATTTATTTAATATTTAATGCATTGAAGATCATTTCTTCGAATCTTGAAATTTCGGAGTTATGATTTTTTGATTACATCCTTACATAACCTTAAACATAAATGTTAGGCTAACTAATCTTTATGTATCTCAAAAACGAATTGAGATATCGTTATGAAATAAAAAGCAAATTAAACTAAATTTATTTAGTATTTAATGCATTGAAGATCATTTCTTCTAATCTTCAAATTTAGGAGTTATGATTTTTTGATTACATCCTTACATAACCTTAAACATTAGGCTAACTAATCTTTATGTATCTCAAAAACTAATTGAGATATCGGTATAAAATAAAAAGCAATTTAAAGTAAATTTATTTAATAATTAACACATTGACGATCATTTCTTCGAATCTTCAAATTTCGGAGTTATGATTTTTTGATTGCAACTTTACATAATATTCAACATCAATGTTAGGCTAACTAATCTTTATGTATCTCAAAAACTAATCGAGATATCGTTATGAAATAAAAGGCAATTTAAAGTAAATTTATTCAGTATTTAATGTATTGAAAATCATTTCTTCGAATCTTGAAATTTCGGAGTTATGATTTTTTGATGACATCCTTACATAACCTTAAACATAAATGTTAGGCTAACTAATCTTTATGTATCTCAAAAACTAATTGAGATATCGTTATGAAATAAAAAGCAAATTAAACTAAATTTATTTAGTATTTAATGCATTGAAGATCATTTCTTCGAATCTTCAAATTTTGTAGTTATGATTTTTTGATTACATCCTTACATAACCTTAAACATAAATGTTAGGCTAACTAATCTTTATGTATCTCAAAAACGAATTGAGATATCGTTATAAAATAAAAAGCAATTTAAAGTAAATTTATTTAGTATTTTATGCATTGAATTTATTTATTTATTAAATCTTATTAATAACAATTTTCCAGTGGTTGAGTATATTGCTGGTTTATGTAAGGTCCATAGACTAATCCTATTGTTAGTTAAAATTTATCTTTACTGATATACAACACATTAATAACTTTTTAGAGCTTATATTACATTATTATATAGCAAATGTATAGATAACTTGCACATTTACTTACAAAATAAAACAGTTTATATTATTAATTTAAATTAATAATAAATCATCAAATTTCATCAAGACTCAAATCTCAGTTAAAAAAAAATAGAAATATTGACTAAATGAGTTAATGAAAGTGAATTTGTAATAACATACGAACATAGAATATAAAACATACTAATATTATCATCATCTAGCATCATTGGTTAATATTGAGCTATTAAAATTACTTACACAAAAATTGTCTCACAACATTCAAATTGTTGCCTTATTATGAGTAAACATGTGGATCTCCAAAGTTAATTTTTGGCACGTACTGAACTTGCAGCCTTCAGCGTCGCAAACAAACCGTCGTGTTATCCGCATCCCATCATTTTGTGCGAGTCTAAACTGGATATGTATTTAAACTTACGGTTACATTTGTCGCAATGAAATTTACGTTTTCGTTGATTTTTTGAAAGTCTTTTCCTTACTTTTCGTTTTTTGCCTTCTGTATTCGCCTAAAATTAATAAATATAATTTTTCATAACGTGTTCTTAAGAGAAAATATACTGAGCTATTAACATGTACTGAATTATACTGAACCTGATGGTGCTTTCTCCTGATATGCTGGGCAATCCCATTTTTGCTTGAACATTGGAGTGATTTGTCACATAATTTGCAATAAATTTGGCTGTAACTGACAACGGATAAATAGCTGTTGTATTCCTTTATCCATGAAACCATTTTCTGGTAATGAATTTCTTTGCTAGACGCTAAAAATAATTCAAAATTTTAAGAGGAGGTGAAAGACAAAAAACGATCACTAAAAGTAAACTGGGAGTTAAATATCATGTGATATGAGGTAACACTAGAATAGTGAAGACATTTTACTGATTTTCTTCTTGCCTCATCCTAAGAGACACATTAGAAGGTATATTTAATATTAAGTATTAAAAAGTACTTACTAGTCATATGGTTTTCTTTGATTTGATGCTTCCATAATGCAATGTACTTATTGAATCCGTCACCACACATCTCACAGATATGACTATATTCTTCATTATCTAAAAAATCATGAAATCAAAATAAAGAAAGAATTCCTCTTACCATTTCTACTTGTTTGTAGAGAACATGTTGGTTTTGGCACATCGACTGGTTCTTCTCGTACAATAAGGCTCATTTGCGCTACTTTTTCACCGGCAGTGCTTTGTTTCAGTTTTACTTCATCAATCTTCTTTCCGAAACAGGAAATATGATCCATTTTTGACAACGAAATGAAACACGTTTGAAACTGCACATCTGAAAGGTAGTAATTAATAAAAATAGAACCTTTTAAACAATGCTTTTTATTATTATTATTGCTGTCGGGCTGGCCCTCCAAACGTTTAGAGCAAATGTAGGTCCTTAATGAACCTTAGAATTGCTCCAAGGTCTTGTTCCTTTATGTTGGTAAGTATCAAAAGAGCTTTACCGAAAATTTTGTGTCTTCGACGCTCTCTGGCGACGCAATTACATAGTATATGTTCGGCCGTTTCTGAGTCGTCGCTGCAAAGTCGACCCAGTTTGATCCTCAGCTTGTCCAATGTGGAAGAGTTGATATTTTAGGGGCGCATGGCCGATCAGGAAACCTGAGAGCGTCCTTAGAGCCCCTTTGCTGAGGAATAAAACCTCTTTGGCTTTGTTTTGCAACGGAGTAATCATACACTACGCTTGACTGTGACCTGGATATTCTTTCCAGCGTAAAGCTACCTTTTGTAGTCCACAACCGGGTTGGGATTCAATGAAAGACGTGTTCGCTGCCTCTTTGGCCAGCTTGTCCGCCTTCTCATTGCCCTCAATGTTTCTGTGGCTTGGAATCCACCATAAAGGAACATCATTGCCCCTAGCGAGTTCTCTCAGGTTGCTGGTACACTCTCCGATCAGTGGGGAGTCGCACGTGTAGGCCTGATATGCCTTTAGGGCGGCCCGACTGTCTGTGAAAATGTTTATGGATGCACCTTTCTGTCCCTTTTGTAGGTTTAAAGCGGTGCAGCAGTTTATAGCAAAAACTTCTGCTTGAAAAATGGTTATGTCCGAGCTGAGGGGCAATTTAATGTGGCTATTTGGTCCACTGATGCCCATGCCTACTTCAGATCCAACTGAATTGATTGATGCTGAGCCCATTGCTTCTGCACCAAGTGTTGATAAGTAGTAGGGCTTTCTGCATTAGTTAAGTTATGATTGCGTCATATTTACCTCAGGTTGTGGTTACCAGATCATCAATATACAGGGTCTGTCACGACGAGCTGAGTCTATATGTATATGGCAAACTACTGGCATTATATTTCTCAAAATTTGCATGTAGCGTTTATCCGAGGTGCTCGTTTCAGCTAAAATATTTTCAGTTTTCTCCAACTTCCGGTTATACCGGAAATGGGCCCCAACTTCGTTATTTTAAATGCAATGTACCAATTTGATTGAATTTTCGAGATCCCTTTTAATATAATTTAATTAATCGTTAAAAACTGAAAAATCGGGAATATCTCCAAAACCGTTGAAGATAGACACCATGATACCTGTATAAAACTGAAAGGAAATTAAATTTTACATCCAATTACGCAAAAACTGGTATATTGTTCCATTAAAAAAAAATAAGTTATCCATGATTAAAAAGTTCGAAAATTACAGATCCCTACTTAAGAACTCCGTAATATAAATGCATAATTTTCTATTAGCAAACGTGTACTCTTTTATTGTTAATCCAAAACAGAAAACCAAATCTTTCTAGCTTTCACAGTTTCGGCAATATTGGCAAATTTATAAGACGCTGCAAATGTCATTTTTTTTCGAAAATCGTCATATAATTCAAAAACGATACCAGTTAGACCTAAAGTATCCTTAACAAAGTACCATTGAAATTTCACGAGGAATCCAAAAATGCAATAATATACAGGATGTTCCATTTAAAATAACAAAGTTGATATCCATTTTCGGTAGAAGCGGAAGTCCGCCATTACTGAAACTAATTTTAAAATATGTACAATATGATTCGATTCAACTTTTATTTGAAACATTTTTTGAAAAACTCAATCATAATTCGGCTATGGACCGAGGCAACTTAGGTGGGACACCTGTATATAACAACAACGTTCGGATGCAATTCGTGATGCATTTCGATTTCTTTCTTCGGAAGATATTCGAAGTGCCACTCATGCCGGGTTCATGAGTTCATTTCTCTTTTGCTGTTATATTTCTTATTCTATTACAAAAGTTACAAAATGTGCGGAGATCGAGCTTTGAGATTATTTTTGGAGTCCTCATTCATGGGCTGTATCTTCGAAAATAGCAAACTCCTTCGTTTTGATGTTAATTACAAAGCCTCCTTACATTCTAGCGTACAATAACTTTTGTTTCGTCTCACTTCCCTCAAATCAAAGCTAACTAATAACTTTAAATTACTAATAATCAAAAAAATTTCATTTTTTGAAGTTTCTACGAGAACCATACATTTTAGATATAGGGTTGCGATGACAAAGTTCCCCTATTTTTCAACGTCCAATGCACTGGTGAAGGAAAAAATTGGGGTTGTCATTTAAAAAAATGAAGTTTTCGACTTTTCGAGATAGGGAAATTCGGCGCATATTTCTGACCAGCCTGCATAATTTTTTTTTAAATCTTTTCAAGGATTATGTAAGCTATGAGTCTTCTCTGTGCAAATCCTGAAAATATTTGGTTGAAAATATTATTTTATACATATAGACACAGCTCGTCGTGACAGACCCTGTACATGCATTCATTTTTTGTTAAGGTGTTCATCAAGTCATCAACTACCAGGCACCATAGGCGAGGTGACATCCTCTTAGCGCCTTAATAGTCAACGACTCGCCTCCCAGACTGGCTGTGTGCCGACTTTTCAACGTGGATATACACCATTTGATTGTCGAAGGATCTTTTACGTTTAGAGCATTATCTATGGATTCGTAGGAGGTGTTATCAAAAGCACCCTCTATGTCTATGAAAGCACATACGGCTATCTCTTTGGTTGCAATTGTCTCATCTAAACTGCTTGTCAAAGCATGGAGAGCAGTAATTGTTGATTTTGCTTTCTGGTAAGCATGTTGACTCGGATGGAGTGGATTAGTGACAAGCACTTTTCCATCCCTTTGAGGAGAAATGAAATTAGGCTATTTAGTCTGTATGCCTTGGGATCGGCGTTTGAACGCCTACCACCTTTAGATATGAAGACCACCTTTACTTTCCTCCATAGTGTAGGTATATAGCTAAAGCTGTAGCTTGCTATATATACGGATATTAAGGAATGTTACGTAAGGTTAGTTCTGTTTACAAACATTAATTATAGCGTGAAGTTTTCTTTAGTAATTAGTAATGCCAATCATAGCGTGAAGTTTTCTTTTGAAATGCCAATTAAACCGTGAAGGAATGTTACTTAAGGTTGGTTCTGTTTACAAACATTAATTATAGCGTGAAGTTTTCTTTAGTAATTAGTAATGCCAATCATAGCGTGAAGTTTTCTTTTAAACTGTCAATTAAACCGTGAAGGAATGTTACCTTAGGTTAGTTCTGTTTACAAACATTAATTAATGTTTGTACATACGTTCACAGGCGGTGCTGAAGATATTCCAGACATGTTTCAGACACATTTGTAGCGAAATGTTTCAAATGAAATGTTTCTGCTACATATTTTAATGATATTTCATAAATATTTCTACTGAAATGTATTTGATACATATCTTTAGATACGTTTCGTAAAAATCGTATCTGTCACGTATATGAAACGTAGTTCTAAGATGTTTCATTTAATTCACTGTACATTAAAATTGAAATGTTT